CCTTGCCGCCCTGTTCCTCGGCGCATTTCTCCAGGGCGACACCGTCCCCCGGTTTCTTCCTGCGGAAGATACTGGCGTGGGGGTTGATGAGGGGCGGCTCATCCTTGTTGATGCCCTCCTGGCTGGACATCTGCATGTGCCGGCGCAGCTGGCTGGGGCGCTGCTCCCAAACCCACATGTGGTGCCTCCGGCGACGCTCCCGCCTGCAACGGAGGGGACAGGCAAGGGGTCGGCATCCTGGACACCTACACCACTGCTGGTGCTTCACACCCCCTCTGACGGTGAAGCACCCACCCTGGACTTAATTTGGGAAGCCCAGGAAATGCCATCCCCAGGGCTACAGGCTCCGGCTTCATCCCCAGCCCTCCGGCATCCCTCCAGTGCTGGCAGGGGCTAGAAACTGGGCTGAAACTTCATATTTCTGCCCCTGCAGCCAGGGACTGGATGTCTTTGCTTTGCCAGCTCCTCAGAGCTGGGGTCCTTTTCGGAATGGCAGTGCCCTAACAGTACAAATGAAGGTGCAGGAGGCTGTGGTGCAAGCAAGGGTGGCAGTCTGATGGGATGGGGACAGTGAGCAAGAGGGGAAAAGATGCCGGGTACAAGACCTGCCTTGCTCAAGGAGGGATGCCCAGCCAAGACGGAGAATGTCACCGGGTGAAGGAGGTCCTCTCCCTCTCTGTGCTTAGCTACATCAGCTGGGACAGTCCCTCAGCCAGGACAGTCCCTCACCTGGCACATCCCAGGCAGGGAGCCAGCCCCAAGGCTTTGGGAGCAGCGTTTTTGGCTGCCTACGGGGGAAGGAGATGTATTGGGCTTCTCTACCTTCTTGCAGGTGTGCTCTAGGGAGGGCTGGGCTGTGCCATGAAACCTTTGCACTGCCATAAACACACACACAGACACCCTGGAGAAGACAGACGTTCCCTTCCCAACACACCGAGGCACACGGAAACACCCACGAGCACACACGTGTGCATACCCCCGGGAAGACACGCAACGGGCACGTCCACGGGTAGCGGCACGCACAAAACCAACGAGCACACGCACAAAACCACGGAGGCACGCACACACGCACCCAAACAGGGGTGCGGAGGAGCACACACGACCATCCCCCTCCCCGTCGAGGAGGGGGAGCCGCGTGCCCCACGGACGCACAGAAAACACAGGAGCCACAGACGACACATCCGCCCCCGCGGCCCACATACAGGTGGCTGCTGCGTGGCTCCCACATCGACATGTGGTGTCTCCTTCGCCTGTCTCTTCTGGGGAGGAAAAACAAATGGGTTCAATCCCCCCTTCACACCTCCTTCGACTCATTTGGGCAACACAACGAGGTGTCACCCCGCACCGGGCAGCCAGCATCCCTTTGCCACTGGCTGCTGGGATGCCCAAGAGCAACACCCAGCAGCGAACACCCTGCACTTACACACCAGCAATGAGCTGCCCACACTCACACTCGCTGCACCCGGATTCCCACACTCCTCCATGGCACGCATCGCTGCCATCCAGGGAGATGCACGTAGCGATGCCCGTGCTGGGGATGCGGATCCGTTTTGGGGTGTCGGCACAGCCTTCCCCGCGCCGGCCAGCCATGCAGCAGCAGCACGGGGGAGCAGTGCAGGCTGCAGCTTCTCAGAAACCCTGGTACATCATCAGAATTTTAACAGCTCTTTCAAACTCCTATAAATTCCCTTCTCCTGAGCAACACATGGCAATTTTGCAGAGAAAGCGCTGCTCAGAGCCATCGCCATGGGTCGATGCTGCTCTGACACAGCACAGAGGGGAACATGATCGTCCCCAGAAAAAGCAAGGCACAAGCCCAGGGATGAGCTGCTGCAGAATCACAGAATGGTTTGGGTTGGAAGGGACCTTAAAGCCCATCCAGTCCCACCCCCTGCCATGGGCAGGGACACCTTCCACTAGACCAGGTTGCTCCAAGCCTCATCCAGCCTGGCCTTGGACACTTCCAGGGATGGGGCATCCACAGCTTCTCTGGGCAACCTGTCCCAGTGCCTCCCCACCCTCTCCGGGAAGAATTACTTCCTGATGTTCAAGCTAAATATCCACGCTTTCACTTTAAACCCGTTACCCCTGTCACCGGAGCAGCCCTGACACGGGGAAGCCAAAGGGGGCCGTCAGTGCTCTTCACCCCCACCGACTTAAGGCAGCTGAGGAGATCCAAGGCTGTATCCTTTGTATCAGCAAAGGGAAGAATCACATACGCACCGCTCCAAGCAAACAGCCACGAGCATCTGCAAACGTGCGTGTAGTGATTTACAGGTTTATGCTTGTGCAGGACACGTGAGCAGATACACTCCAACCGCACGCAGCCAAGCGCCCGCAGGCAGAGCTCACACCACCGCCCTGGGACACATCTCGCCGCTGCCCTGCGAGGATGCCACCACCCTCAGCACCCGTGTGAGACGCTGGTCATTGCCTCCCCGTAGCCACCTTTTGGCCACATGCACAGGAACAGCCCGGAGCGCATCACGGGCACCCTGCCGCCGTCCCCGCAGCAAGTGGCTGAGCCTTTCAAACGCATCCACGCACCACGTTAGGCACCAACACACGACAGCATCCGCATGCGTCCATCTGGCCGCCCACTCGTCAAACAGCCCCGAGCCATCTGCACCAACGGCACCCATGTACAAATACAATGCTCCCATCCAGCACCGCAGCCGCCCACGCCAGCCTGGCCACGTGGGAGCTTCCCATCCTCCAGCCCGGCCACGTGGGAGAACCCATCCCCGCGCACCGCCGGACCTCTCTGCAGGCAGGAACGCACGTACCGAACCTGCCTGCGCGGGGTACCCACATAGAAATGGAGCCATCTGTGTCTGCGCACACCCGAACGCAGAGACCAGCTTGGCTTTGCCGACCCCAGTTTCGGTATCAGCACTGCTCCGGCTCGTCCCTTGCTGTGACATCCCCACCGGCCCTCCCCGGCTGCCGGCACCAGCGTAGCAGCACCGAAGGCACATCAGACCTGATGCTGGAGATGGTCGTCCTCAATGGCATTGCAATCCCTTCCCTACCCCTGCCCCTATCCGTCCTGATGAGGGCGAGGAGCTGGGAAAAAAGGTCTGCAGATGTCAATATCTCCAATTTCAACACCACTAGGACAACAGCAAAAGGTTAAAGCGATCTGTTTTCCCAACCAGCTATACCTGGCAATGGCTAGATAACTCTGGCAGGGACGTGCAGCATGGGCAAAACCTTTAATGCCCCAATATAGTCCATCTCCCCCTCTTCCTCTCTCCTATCTACCCATTCTCCAGCCTCTTCTGCAGCCTAAATCCCTCTATTCCCTCACTTTACCTGGCACATTCCCACTGGTAGCCAGTCAGGACACACAGACTCCACCACCTCTCCCAAAAGTCCTCCCAGTACGTGGCCAGGCACAGATTTATTACAAATATCCCATCACCCCCAAAATTGGGGTGACATCTGCGGCTGTCAGGAGACCAGGCAGAGCTCACAAGTACCCCCAGCTCCCGCTGCCCCTAAAACCACCGGTCATGCGCAAAGGATGGGGGTCCATCACACCCCGCTGCTGCCAAGGCAGGGAGCTGGGACCATTCCCAACGCTGCCTCCAACCCCCTCCCCTGGATCGGATCTCGCCTGAAAACAGCGGTTTCTCTCAGCGAAGCTGCAAGAGATTCTGCTGTGTACGAGCTTGGCTGGGTTTCAAAGCATAACGAAACCTAAAATTCCCTGGGAAGGGATTCTATAAAAAAAAGGGGGGAAAAAAAAAAAGGCAAAAATCCTTTCAACCGTACTGAGATGTACTGTTTTGGGAAACAAATCAAAACGCCTCGTTCCAGTGTTGACTTTGAAAGTTTTATGTGATTTAGACCATATGACACTGCAAAATAAAGGGGGAAAAAAGGCGTCTAGAAAGGAAAAAACCAGAATTTTCTTCTGCTGAAGCACAGAGACAAGGCTCAACACCACGCCGGGGGTTTATGTGGTTTGGGGCTTTTTTTACCCTCCCCCAAATCAAATTTCTGTACAATCCAACGTGGTTTCGCAAACCTGCTCCACCCCTCATAACTGCATTTGTTACCAGGGAAGGAGCCCACGGGAGATTTGGCACACCGCTGCTCCCTTCTCCCCCAGCCCTGGCTGCTCTCCCACAGCTCCACCACAAACAAACGCTCCCCAGGAACAAGTATCACCCCTCCTCAATAAAAACAGGAGATACCTGCCTCCTCCCCAGCAGCATCCCTGAGCGTCTGAGCTGCACACGTGCAGCAGAAAACCTCTTTTAGCAGGTTTGTGCCATGCTCAGGGGCTGCCGTGTGAGGCAGGGGTGGGCAAACCAGAGAGCTGGTCCCTCTCTGAAGGCACTGCTGCTCATGGGGAGCACGGTCCTAGATCTCCATCCATCCATTCATCCATCCATGGGAAGACACCCAGGGAGTCACCCCGTGCAGGGACCCCATTACTGCGGCAGCCCCGTCAGGAGCCGTGCCCGGCTCCGCTTCAGCTCCCCATGGCTGGGCTTGGGGAGGGGACATCGGGGTAAAGGGAGTCACTCACTCGATAGCAGGCATGTTTGGGGCAGACATGGGGCTGACTTCTTTGGCTTTCTGAAGGGCGTGCTTCTGGTTAAAGGCCTCCTCTTCCTCCTGCTCATCCTGCGGAGGAAAGAGGGGAGTTGCTTAGTGGGATGCTGGGGTTTCGAAGGAAGGTGCAGGCAGAGGAGGATGCGTGGGGCTACCTTAGATGCCAAGGCATGCGGGAGAAAGGGGGAGCTGGCACCTGGATTTTCAGGGACAGCCTTTATTTTATGGTGGGGACACAACTTCCCCACTACACCAGATCTTACTAAAGGCATCAGCACTATTTAAATAAGTGAACCCAGCCCACTGCAGGCTAGAACAGTCCCAAATGGTGTAGACCAGTTCAGCCCTCCCTTATTCACAGCCACAGGGGCGAGACAGGCATCTCCCCGATGGAGTGGGAGGCAAGGCATCCACAAATGACCCGGGCAGAGACCGTATTGCTTTAATGAGTATGGTTGCACCTCCAGAACAAAAAAAAATGTCATTAGGAGTCATTAGCATGCGTTCAGCCTTTTCAAAAACTCAGCGCCTCCTTATTGATGCTGCTGGTACGCCACGAGGGTCTCCCACCCCTCTCACCCCAGCAGCAGCTGGCAGCCCCTGGAAGTGTCACCTGCACCCACTGCGGGAGGACGGGGGCTCCCTCACGCACCCTAAACGAGCACCATGCCCATTTTGTTTGCTGCTAATGGGTCAGATTTACACCAGCGTGGAAGCCCCTCAGTAAGCCCCAAGGGACTGAGTAACAGCCATGTGCTCTGCAAAAAAACTGCAGGCACCGGGGTATAACTGGTCCCCTAAAAAGAGCAGCAATGACCCTCACAGTTCTCGCCTACTCACACTTATCCAGATAGTGCCCCAACATTTTAGCGTTCCCCAAATATTTCCCAGCGTGGTCTTAAAGACAGCTCAGCCCAATAACCTTCCCTCAGCACCATCCTGCATTGCATCCTAAATCACGCCCACTGCCCTGCTGGCAGATGGGGAATAAATACGGACACCACTAGAAAGCGCTTCCCACTACGCGTCTCCAGAGTCTTTGGGAACATAACTATCCCCACACCAGACCCCATCACACAGACAAGGGTTATCTCAATCTGACTGGAGGCAAACAAAACTGAGGAGCTTAAATGGAGAAACAGTTAAGCCACACTTGATGGGAAGCGTGGGTGTTCCTGGAGAGACACACTTTCCTAAATCCATGTCTAAATGGCTGTGCCCAGTGACAGGGGGTTGTGTTTCAGGGGAGCACCCTGCGTACCTTACTTCTAATTTGACCTGACCTCTTTCCAAAGCAGGCTGAGCTAAAGCACAAGGTGTCCGTGGCTCCGGAGTGAGAACAGTCACAGGCAGTGCTCCTGGAGCATTTCCTGCTCACCCCCTCCTTCACTCTCTTCCCACCAGCAAGAGGAGAAAAAGGAGCGACGGGGACGTACCTTGGTGAGCTCCTGAGCGTTGGCCAGGTTGTCCACTGCGATGGCCAAGAACACGTTCAGCAGAGTATCTGTGAGCAGCTAAGGATGCACAAGGCACGTGTTAAGGACACAGGTGACTACAGCCACCAAGGGAGGGTGGCCCTGACAGCTCCTCACCAACTTGGTGAGGAACATCCAGAGGGACCAACTCCTCACCCATCCCACATACACAGCCCTCAGTGCACCTCCTGAGAGCTCTGTGTTGGGGATATCCAGGGCTGCTGCACTTGTGATGGGAGTCCCTTCACCGGGAGAGGAGGAAGGAGCAGTGGGTGGGGAGGGGGCTGCCCCAGAGAGGAAGATGAGATGGGGTTGTCTCCACTAAAAGCACAGCAGCCAGGTGGATACAGTTTCCAAACAAGGTCAGGACGATGAAATAGATGGAGGACCACATGCCCGAGCGAACGCCTCCCTGGGAGCGGATGCCATTGTACATCACCTCATTCCAGTCCTCGCCCGTCAGGATCTGTGGGAAAAGCGAGCCGGCAGCTCCGTCACCCGCACCTTCTCGTCACCGGGGCAGCCCCCTCGATCTACCCCACTGACGCGCGGAGACCCCGCGCCGCGGATAACCCAGCTCTACCGCTGCAGCGCTTGAGGGAGGTGATGTTGGACGTTGATGAGGATTCAGGTCTCCTGGGAAGAGCTTTGAAACTCTTCCACCTGGTGTAACTGAGGTGAAAGAGTTTCCATCTCCTGCCATCTGCTTTGTTATACAGGAGACCGAGGAAGCGAGTTACACCCTAACAGCTGATGGAGGGGAACCCGTTTGGTTTAAGGAGACCCAGCCGGTGGGGAGTGAGCAGAGAGCCCCAGTTCTCTTTGGCTGTGTGCCCTTGCAGCCCAGCTCCTACCTGGAACACTGTCATGATGGCTGCGGGGAAAGTGTCGAAGTTGGCCGATGGCGTGCCATCAATGAAGTTAAACCTGGAAGTGGAATCGGGAGGACGTAAATGGGCTGGAGTACCAAGGTCATCAAACCCTTGACCGATGTGCTATCAGCTCTCTTGTGCTCAGGAGGACCTTTCCCAAATCTAGGGAAGGTCTCCTGAGCATCTGGTGCCAGAATCCAAACTCAGGAGGACCTTTCCCAAATCTAGGGAAGGTCTCCTGAGCATCTGGTGCCAGAATCCAAAAGATGTCCTGGCCAGAAGGGCCCACACAGCCCAGAGGCACCCGCCTGAGCAGGCACTGTTGTATGGGAGAGGTACCTGGGTTAGCAGCAGGTTATAGTCTGCCCAGGCAGCCAAGGGGGTGTCATGCTTGGCTTTAACATCCAGAAATTCCTTTTCCCCAGATTTGAAACAACCTACCTGCCTCCAAACAGTTGCATTCCCAGCAGGGCAAAGACTACAATGAAGAGAAAGAGGAGGAAGAGCAGACTGATAATAGACTTCATGGAGCTCATCAGCGAGACCACCAAATTCCTCAGGGATGCCCAGTACCTAGAAAACAGAGACAGTGCTGGAGTACTTGCAGGAGAGCAGGAGCGACCGGATCTGGGCTGCAGCCGCAGCGCAGGACAGATGGTGACAGGCACAGAAGGATGGTATGTACTTGGTTATTTTAAATATTCGCAGGAGACGAAGGGCTCGTAGGACACTGATCCCAAAAGAGGTTCCTGGTCTGAAGATAGCCCAAACCACTTCAAAGATGCTTCCCACTGTGACCTGAGAAGAAGACACAGCTGTAAGTTAAAGACAGGCTCGGGATGGGCTGTTGCAGGAAACCTTCATGTGTCTGAAACAAGGCCCCCACCACCCTGCCCAGGACCTGGCGTCGGTCTGGCACGGGCAGGCTGTCCGGCAGAAAGGGTCCCACTGCGAGGGCCATCCCGTTCCTTTCCCCCTTGGTCCCTCACGCTGCAGTCACCTGCCAAATGTCTCCCCCTCCACCATCTCTGGGGCTGCTTACCCCACAGTCAAAGCAGTTGAAGGAAGAATGGAAGTAGAGGCGTGGCCCCATCCCGTACATCTTTAAGGACATCTCCAGGAGGAAGAGTCCAAGAAACAGGAACTCTGCATAGTCTGAAAGAGAAAAACCCAGACGCGCTACCGTTGGGGCATCAAGCTGTGAGGAGCATCCTGCACGCACCCACCCATAGCCCACGGAGCACTGGATGAGTTGAGGACCATGCCGCTTCCCCCAGCTCTCTCAGGCCAGGGCATGGGATGAGGGAAGGTTGTCTGCAAGGACCTCAGTTGTATAGAACAGCACCAACCCCACAGGTTAATCTTTCAGGGTGGGGGTACTGGTGTCCCAGGGGTTTGAGAAGACCAGAGATGGAGCAGAGAAGCTCTTTAACATTATATGAATCACAGAGCAGTTTGGATTGGAAGGGACCTTAAAGCCCATCCAGTCCCACCCCCTGCCATGGGCAGGGACACCTTCCACTAGACCAGGTTGCTCCAAGCCTCATCCAGCCTGGCCTTGGACACTTCCAGGGATGGGGCATCCACAGCTTCTCTGGGCAACCTGTTCCAGTGCCTCCCCACCCCTCCGAGAAGAAGAAGCTATGGTGGTTGGGATGTTTGCAAAGACATTAGCCACACAACACTGTAGGGGAATATTAGCAACCTGGATTTAAATCACTGCACAGCTGGAACTTGGCCAGGGTAACCGAGCCAAACAGTCAGGAGCCAGTAAAAAGCTTCTCCAGCTTTTTCATGAAGAGTAGCATGTGAGAGTCTGGCTCTTCCCCTTGTCCAAAAGATGCTTCTCACCACGACCAGCTGCCTTACCACACCGTAGCGTGCTGGGATCCCGGCAGCCCTGAGCGTGCTAATGCAAATTTGGGCAGGCCTGGTGCTTGCCGGGGACGTTTTCAAGGTGAGTAAGAATAACACGGCTGGAAAAAGCAGCGCTGTCCCTACCACAGCAGCTCAGAAGAAACACACGGCTGCTGCGGGGTTGACCACGCTGCTCTGCTGTTAGCACCACGCCAGGGTAGGCATGAGTGCACTGCCTCCAAGACCTGACCTTGCACTATGGACCACAGTGGGCTGGGGGATGCTCCCGTAATCGGTTTTAAGCTTGGGATCTCCACACCAGCAGGGAGGTTTCCCATGATCCATCCCATCCCTGCAAACTCCCGCCTTGCCTTTCCAACAATTGCTTGTGGGCATTCAAAGATGGATCTCCAGCAAGCTTTCCATCACCACTGTTCACAGTTTTAGGATAAACCCAACTGAGACCTGAGGTCTGTTTCTCTCTCTTGACAAAACACATTGGACCTGAAGGGCATGAGGCCAGTAAAACTTCTCCACACTTGCCCACAGGGCTGAAACAGCCATCAGTGGCCACGGGGTCAAGGGCAAAGCTGAATTAAGTGACTGTACATTGTCCTTTTTTTATCAACAATGATTCTAATTCAGGTTATTCCCTGCCCAGCTCCGTACCAGCATGACTCTGGTGGGATTCATCCCCTAGGGCAAGGAGCAAGGGCGTGTGGACATAAGAAGGCTGCAGGAGGTTTTGCCTGCCCACGCAATGCTCTCACACCTACATAAAGCCCACGGACTCACAGAGGAAGTGGGTGAGCCATGCTGGCTGGTTGTGATGGACGATGGCCACGCAGGCAGTGTTGAGTGCCACCAGGCTCAAGACGATCCAGTAGAAGACCTGGGATTTCACCATGTGACGAACGGAGATGCGCAGGAGTCGCTCCTTGTGCCGTAAGTAGGAGGCGCCGTCCACTCTGGCGCCTTTGAGACCGGAGTGACTCAAGGGGTTACCTAAGGGAAAGGAGTGGGGAGAAGGAATTGAGTGCCCCAGTCAAGGTGGGAGAAGGTGTTGGGTGCCCCAACCTCACCCACAACATAAGACAGGACAGACGGCTCAGACATTGCTGTTATGACTTCATAACATGACTTCACCACACAGTTTTTAAACAGGCAACGGGTGGTTTGCCCCCTTTTGCCGTCAAACTAGCAGAGATGGTCGATCTGTGACAATCCACACAACTCAATACACTGGCTGAGGTTTTGGGGGGTAAAGCTCCAAAATCTACTAACCCAAGGTTGGATGAAGAGGTCTTCTCTGCGCCAGCCTCCTCTCACCTACGGAGGAGATATCAACACAGTGCTCATCGCTTGAGTCACGGTTCATGGTGTCTGTCCGGTTCCTTTTGATAGTGGCCCGCCTGAGCACTGGGAAGGGAAGAGGAAGGGGTGTTGGCGGCCCGACTCTGCCAGTACGCAGCTCATTGGACCAGGATCTCGTGATCAGTACTTGGCTAACTCAGGTCTGGTAACAGGATGGAGATACCCAGGTGACCCTAGTCCACAGCTCTCTCTTGTGTGGGACCAAACACCCCCTGGCCTTCATGGTCTCTCAGGGGTTCTTCTGTCAGTCCACCTCCCCACACCCCTCTCTTGTGCTGCAGACCCCGCAGGGGTATCCCCAGACTCAGGCAGAAGGCGGGTGCTTAGGCAGGGCATCGCTTGTCTTACCTTCTAAGGCTGAGGTCCCAGCGTTTTTGTTCTCTTCAGCCAGCATGACTTCCTCTACGCAAAACACACAGTTCAGGGAGACAAGACACTTGGCTGAGCACATCAGACACCACCGCCTCGGACCCGAGCGCTTTGCTCAGCCTGGAGGTGGCTGCTCCAGGCTGCAACCTCTTGCCAAGTATTGGTTAAGTGTCCAAAAGCAAATTCTGGAGGGTGGCAAATGGCAGCTACCACACATTGCATCAGAAATTACTTGTAATCGACCCTTCTTCCTCCACTGCAATTAACTCTACTCAATAAGTTGAATATTGTAGTCAAGTCTGGGGCTCCACATCCCAACCAAAGCTGAGGTCTGGGGCTCAGGCCCCATTCCAAGTTACCCATTACTTTTCAAGTTGGAATGCCAGACAAGAGTGTACATCTTCCCTTCCCCCAGCTGAACGCACTGAGCCGATCCCCACGCGGGGCAAGCAAGGACAGGGGCTGGGGCAGTTTGCACACCCATGGGCTGCTGCACATGGCTGGGTGGCAGCAGGAAG